CTGGGCAATATGCAGGCCTGAGCATTTAGACAGAAGAACCCCCAAAAAAACCCTCTGAGTAGGGAACCCTCAGGGCTAAGCTGAGGTTAATGAAACACCCTCATTATGAAAAGAGACAGAAAGTCTGGGAGAAGGATGGGCACAAGATGTGATCCACTCTGCAGGCAACACTCCGTCAGCAGGAGTGTCTGATGAAAAGCAGATCCCAGCTTTCTGGACTGGACAAATGCTGTCAGGACGAACCATTGGGTTAGAAACACCTTATGAGGCTGCTAGTAAACAGGGCCGGCTCTAGGATTTTTGCCGCCCCAAGCAAAATCAATTTTGGTCACCTCCGCCCCCCCCCCCCCGTTTTTTTCTTACCCCACCTCAACTCCGCCCCTTCCCCAAATCCCCAGCCCTGCCTCCACTCCCCAGGCTCTCAAACCTGGGAGGGAGGGTGAGCAGCAGCGCGTGAATCAGCCGTTTCGTGCGCCGCGGCCGCTCGGGATCTCCCCCTCCCTCCCAGGCTTGAGAGCCTGGGAGGGACGGGGAGCAGCGGCGCGTGAGCAGCAGCAGCAGCAGAGGTGAGCTAGGGCGGCTGGGGCACATTTTTAGGGGCGGCATTCTGGCACCGACCATGCCGCCCCTAAAAATGTGCCGCCCCAAGCACCAGCTTTGTTTGCTGGTGCCTAGAGCCGGCTCTGCTAGTAAATACAAGCTACAGATTGCAAGTCAAACATTTCTTTTCCCTGTACCCTTATGTTTCCAAATCCGTTTCCTGGCTTTTATTTGAATCTTTAGCTTGAGCTTTGTTAAATCAGGAGTGTTGAACAGAGGAGAGGCTGGTGGAGCGGGGCGTGCTGCTTCCACGGGGCAGCAGGTGTCCGGAAGATAAGGGGCTGGGCACTCGAGTGTAATGAAGTGGGGCGTGTGGATTGTTAGCCTGCACTGGGAAAGAGGGGGCTTGTGACAGCCCAGAGTGGAACCCCTGTGCTGCCAGCAGTTTGGGGAGAGTGTACCCCAGTGGGCACAGAAAAGGCTCTCTCATACACCATAAGCAGGGGATAGCAATTTAACAACAGGCATGGGGAGGCACCGCCCACTGCCCCCTATGCCAGCCCCCACGCTCCTCTGTCTCCTCCCAGCCACCCTGCCCCTTTACAGCGGATGAGCTGGGCCTATATCCAGGGGGCAGCATCCCAGTGAGTTCCTGCAGCATGACCCCTGTCCACCCCACTGGAAAGGACAGTTACTGTTCCGTAACTGGCGTTCTTCGAGATGTGTTGCTCCTGTCTATTCCACAGTAGGTGTGTGTGCTCGCCACGTGAACCAGTGCCGGAAGTTTTTCCCTTAGCAGCATCCGTAGTGGGGGAGCACTGCTGTGACCCCTGGAGTGGCGCCGACATATCACGCCATAAAGGGGGCTGCATGCTCCCCCCACCCTCAGTTCCTTCTTGCCAGACAACTCCGACAGAAGGGAAGGACTCTGACAGAGGGGAAGGAGGGTGGGATGTGGAATAGACAGGAGCAACATCCGAAGAAGTGGGCTGTAGTCCACGAAAGCTTATGCTCTAATAAATTTGTTAGTCTCAAAGGTGCCACAAGTACTCCTGTTCTTCTTTTTGCTCCTATGTATTCCACAGTAGGTGACTCCAAGCTATACCTAACGGAGGTGGGTAGGAGTTCTGAATAAGTGTTAAGGGTTACCCGGGTGGAGCACCGCCCTACCAAACCCGGCGTCATCCCATGGTTGGGAGAAGATCACATAGTGCGATGAAAAAGTGTGGACAGAGGACCACGTAGCAGCCCTGCAGATGTCCTGAATAGGGACATGAGCCACATAGGCCGCGGACGAGGCCTGAGCTCTCGTCGAGTGTGTCTTGACAATAGGAGGTGGGGGAACCCCAGCCAGGTCATAACACGTGCGTATGCACGAGGTGATCCAGTGGGAGATCCACTGGATGAAAACCGGTTGCCCTCTCATGCGCTCGGCCATAGCAATGAAAAGCTGAGGGGGATTTCTGGAATGGCCTTGTTCGATCTAAGTAAAAGGCCAGTGCCCTACGCACACCTAGCATGTGTAGGCGTCGTTCCTCATTGGAGGAATGGGGCTTAGGACACAGGACTGGAAGAAAAACGTCCTGATCCATATGAAACGTCGAGACCACCTTCGGCAGGAAGGCCAGGTGCGGGCGAAGCTGGACCTTCCCCTTATGGAAAACAGTGTACAGGGGATCCGAGGTGAGCGCCCTAAGCTCCGAAACCCTGCAGGCTGAGGTGATAGCCACCAAAAACGCCACTTTCTCCGATAAGTGAGACCAGGAGCACACGGCCAGGGGCTCAAAGGGTGGCCCCGTGAGGCGTGACAGTACCAGGTTCAGGTTCCACGGTGGGATCGGGGGTCTAGCATAAGGGAACGCTCTGTCCAAACCCTTTAAAAACCTGGAAGTCATATGGTGGGAGAACATGGACTGTCCCGCCATCGGAGGGTGGAAGGCTGAGATGGCTGCCAGGTGCACCCTGATCGAGGAGGGGGCCAGCCCTTGGGTCCTAAGGGACAGGAGGTAGTCCAGGACCAGCTGGAGCGGAGCAGACGCGGGGAAGGAACCTCTCTCCCTTGCCCATATAGAGAACCAATACCACTTAGCCAGGTAGGATCTCCATGTGGACGGCTTCCTGCTCTCAAGCAGGACCCATCTAACAGCCTCGGTACACCTCCCCTCCTCCGCATCTAGCCACGGAGCAACCACGCTGTCAGGTGGAGCGGGGCCAGGTTGGGATGGAGGAGACGACCTCCCTCCTGGGAGAGGAGGTCCAGGCGTAGCGGCAGCCTGCAAGGGGGGGCCGCCAATAGTTGCAGTAGTGTCCTGTACCAATGTTGACGGGCCCAATCTGGGGCTATCAGGATAATCCTTGCCCCATCTGATTTCACCTTCTGTAGGACCCTGCCTATGAGGGGAAAAGGCGGGAAGGCGTACATCAGGGGCCTCGACCAACTGAGCAGGAACGCGTCCGTCATGGCCCCGTCACCCTCTCCCATCCTGGAGCAGAACCTGGGACACAGGCGATTTTGGGCAGTGGTGAACAGGTCTACCTGGGGAGCACCCCACTGTAGGAACATCCACTCTGCTACCTCCCTGTGCAGGGACCACTCGTGTTGATTTGAGAACACCCTGCTCAGGCGATCTGCGAGCATGTTGCTCTCGCCGGGTAGGTGGAACGCTCGGAGGAGGATGTCGTGGGCTATACAGAACTCCCACAGGAGTTGGGCTTCCTGGCATGCCCCCTTGCCTGTTGATGTAATACATTGCGGTGGTGTTGTCTGTGAGGACTCTGACCACCTTTCCTTGTAAGTGCTGGCGAAAGGCCAGGCACGCCAGGTGCACAGCCCTGAGTTCCCTGACATTTATGTGCAGGGTCAGTTCCTCGGGTGACCACATACCCTGGTCCTGAAGTCCCCGACATGGGTTCCCCAGCCCAGGTCCAAGACATCCAACACTAGATCTAGGGATGGAGAGGGCTCTTGGAAGGGGATACCCCGGAGCATGTTGCTCAGGAGGGACCACCATTGGCAGCACCGTGACGACCTTGTCCAGGCCATCCCTGGCCTGGGAGTACTGGGAGGCCAACCACAGTGGAGGGGCCACATCCAGAGCCTGGCATGTCGCACCACCGAGGTGCACGCGGCCATGTGGCCGAGGATTTGAAGGCACATCCGAGCCGTGGTCACTGGGAAGGCCGTGACCGAGGCGATGAGGCCTTTGAGCGCCTCGAACCTGTCCCTTGGAAGGGAGGCCGTGGCCGCCCAGGAATCTAACAGCGCTCCTATGAATTCTATGTGCTGGACCGGTACTCACGTGGATTTTTCCTCGTTTACCACTAGGCCTAGAGCTGAGCAGGTGC